TTATATATAGAAAACATACATACACACACACACACACGGAAACAAGTAACTTTACTGAAAAGAAATGTGTAGTGAGCAATTTGCAAATAATAATAAAATATACAATACTTTTTTTTTTTTTTTTGAGACAGAGTCTCACTCCATCACCAAGGCTGGAGTGCAGTGGCATGATCTTGGCCCACTGCAATATCTGGTTCCCAGGTTCAAGTGATTCTCATGCCTCAGCCTCCCAAGTACGTGGAATTACAGGTGCACGCCACCACGCCTGGCTACTTTTTGTATTTTTGGTGGAGACGGGGTTTCACCTTGTTGGGCAGGCTGGTCTCGAACTCCCAACCTCAAGTGATCCACTTGCCAAAGTGCTGAGATTACAGGTGTGAGCCACTGTGCTCAGCCAAATATACAATACACTTTATTGCAAATTTCATTTAGCCAATTGATTGTCACAAAATGCTTTCATTGAGTTTTGCCAAACACTTGTGTCAATAATCAATCTATAGTTACAATTGATGACTGAATTAGTTCCAACATGAATGTTGGTTGAGATTTTCCTTTAGCTGGACTAGTAAGACAAAAACAAAAGAACAAAGACTTATGTCAAAACTTCAACCATTCATCAGTGATGTGGGAAACTTACCTGTTAAATCATATTAGTTCTTGAATGCTGGAAGAATATTTCCTCAGTTTAAAAAATATTCACAATGTAATGGCTACAGATGTGACACTTTTTTTTGTATTATACTTTAAGTTCTAGGGTACATGTGCACAGCGTGCAGGTGTATTCATATGTATACATGTGCCATGTTGGTGTGCTATACCCATTAACTCGTCATTTACATTAGGTATGTCTCCTAATGCTATCCCTCCCCCTCCCTCCACCCCACGACAGGCACGAAGCATGATTTATAATCCTTTGGGTATATACCCATTAATGGGATGACTGGGTCAAATGGTATTTCTAGTTCTAGGTCCTTGAGGAATCGCCACACTGTCTTCCACAATGGTTGAACTAGTTTACAGTCCCACCAACAGTGTAAAAGTGTTCCTATTTCTCCACATCCTCT